TCTTTCTCTTTCCCTTATTCTCGTTCTTTTTCCGCGCTCTCCAACTCTCACCCTAACCTGAAATTTCAGGAGGCACAAAGTAACAAAAATGCGGTTACTACAAGCCCTACTTGCAGCAACTATCATCACACAAATAAAAGTGAGTCATCAGCGAGTCTCTGAGTCAAACGAGCTTCGAATCTCGAAGTTCAAAACCGAAAATTTGATCCTCACTAGGCACAAGCCGGAACCGCCGACACGTGGATGGCGTTCCCGCAAAATGCTTCTTGTTCCCCGAATGCCGTGATCTTCGAGTTCACGGATTGGCAGATCAAATTTTTGCCGCCACCGGACAATGACAGAAGACCCGAGGAGACTCAAGAACAGTATGATAAAAGGGTGGCGAGTCTGATGGTGAAGGTCGCGTCGTTAGGTCAGTTTTAATTTTAATTTTTTTCGGGAACAATTTCTTAAATAGCATTATTCCGCTAATATATTCCTAAGCGTAAAAATCTGACAACAATTTTTATTAAAAGCACAAAAAAAATATCGATTTTTCGAGCAATAATGGCCTTTTTGGCCAAAATTTTCTGACATTTTTTCAAAGTTTTTAGTCAGTTTTTCTGGTTAAAATATAGGGTGTCCTAAATAAAAAGGGAAATTGGTATTTTTTTTTTTATTAATATATATTATTTTGGTTTGGAAAAAGGGGGGGGGGGGGTAATAGTAAATATAAATATTTTTTTAGGGGGGGAAAGGAGGTTTTTGGGTGGGGGGGAGGGGGAGTTTTTTTTTTTTTATATTTTTTTTTTTTAGAATTTTTAATAAAAAAAAAAAAAAAAAAAAAAAAAAAATCCTTTTACAAAAAAAAAAAAAATTAAAAAAGAAGGGGATAAAAAAAAAAAAAAAAAAAAAAAAAAATCCAAAAAAAAAAAAAAAAAAAAAAAAAAAAGAAAAAGGAGGGGGGAGGGGGGGGGTTTTCTTTATATTAAAAAAAAAAAAAAAAAGGAAAAAAGAGGGGAAAAAAAGAAAAAAAAAAAAAAAAAAAAAAAAAAAAAAAAAAAAAAAAGAAAAGGAGGGTGGGGAGGGAAAATATAGAAATTTTTTTATTTTTATAATTTTAAAATTATTAGAAAAAAAAAAAAAAGAGGGGGGGGTGGAGGGAAGTAAGTTGTGGGGGTCCCTTTTTTTTTTTTTATAGTATTAGTTTACTAAAACTGTATGAACATTCTGCCTATTAAGTTAACTGATTTTTTTCAGCCGGCACCTTGCCTGCCAAGGATCAGGTCGTATACCACTTTGATGCATTCACCGGCACCAAGGGATTTCGCGAACTATCGAAAATCTGCCTGACGCGCAGTGCAGCCATCGATTTTGCAGAGGTTGGGGTTTTCGGGTGCTCAGATGCGGGCTCAGGCTCCAATTTTTAGCTTAAGAACTCAAATGGCCAACGCAAACTCGAATGTTCGAAATTGCAATTTTAGAGTTCCGCCAATGATACATTCGATGTCCTAATGGCAACCAAGACCAACAGCGACCCTCGGACATTCGACGTGTTGCCCTCGATCGTGTTCAAGAATCAAGTTCCTTTTCAAAATGTTATCCCGTACCATTCGGCGAATCAGTTATAGTAAGTGAACGGGCAAAAACTTGGCTTTGAAAACCATTCTTTGTGTCTTGGCTTGCCGTCTTAGTGTTTATACGTTTTTCTTGCAGTGACGTCCAGATGACCATCACACAGAAATGTCCGCCGCAGCGGTTTGGGTATTTGTGCCAGAGCGTCTGTGATGTGGGTTTGGTCGTGGCTAGAATTTTGTTCTCTCTTTCTCTCTCTCTCTCTCTCTCTCTCTCTCTCTCTCTCTCTCTCTCTTTCTCTATCTCTCTCTTTCTCTCTCTCTCTTTCCCTTGCAAGCCCTCTCTCTCGTTCTCGAGTTCTTGAATTCTCATATCAGTATTTTTTCAGTGCGACGCCGCCGACTGTGACATCCGGGACGGCTGCAAGTCATCACTTTTGGTAAAGAAAGCTTCAAAACCTAAGCAAATTATACCTTTTTAGTTCTGGATCCTGTTTGCCGTCATCATCGCCATCATCAACATTTGTCTAATCCTTTGCGGAGTCTACATTTGGTTGAGGTATCTAGAAAAAAGCTAAAAACTCCAAAATTTATCCAACTGTTAGGCTACGCAAAAACCGCAAGAATGGCAAGGGCAAGATTGGGCAGTACCGGCCGAACGAAGTGGTTGATGTCGGCAGGACGTGAGTGTTTTTCAGGGAGAGGTTAAAGAGCCCGGCAAGGCAAAGCTATGGATTTGCCCGGTTTTAAATTTCCTGAAATTTTGGGTGACTTGAGGCATGCCTTTTTATTGCGTAATCGGTTATGGTTCTTACACCGCAGATAGGCGATGCGCGTTGCGTGTCGCGTTGCGCGTTGCGGCCACGTTTTAACTCTGGTTTACTAATTAAATGAAACTTGACTAATTCGACCATGCTCTTTCTGATGGCGTCAAAAAAGAGGCTCGAAAAAAACTGTGCCGAGCCTTCTTCGGGTGGCGCACAAACTGCCTTTTATATCCATTGCGTTAAGGGGTAGGGCTTTTTCACGGCAGAGAAGCGATGCGTGCGTCGCGTGTCGCGGGCGCTGCAAGATCCATAAGGGAATAGGGGAGCAAAGAGCATGCCTCGCCTTCCTGGCGTCTTTCGAAACTTTATTTTTCCAGACCACCGCGACAATCCGCCGACCACGACGGGCCAGTCTTTTTTACGGTAAGTCGAAGCGTTGGCTAAATTTCCTGAAGGTAGCGGTTGGGTTTAAGCGCTTGTCGTGTCGTGTCGTACCCCCGTGGTGTCAGACGGGTCGCAATTCGCGTATCACAGTGGCTGTCAAGCGCTCGGTACCGAGAATTACATAGCGTGTACGGTTGTCCGCCCAATTCGACGCGTCGCGCTTCATTTCCCGACAATTTTCCCAATCGATAACTCAATTACGCAACAAAAAGAAAACTGACGAAAACGAAAGTCGATACACCAGTCGGTTCTGGTTGGTTAGCGGGGGTGGGGGTGCTTAATGTCGTAGATTTTTCAGTATTTTATTATTTTTTGGGACTACATCAACGCGCCTTGGTAGAGCATCAAGAAATGTACTATGCATTTTAAATCCAGATCACGATAATTTAAGAAAGATATATCAAAAGCAAAGATAGCCGGGGATGGGGTTGGTAAGGTTATTTTCGGCATTTTTAACGCTATTCGGTAGAGCATCAAAAAACGAAGAGGTTTATCTTCTATACCAGATGGTTACAGTCGCTTCGCGACTGCAACCATCTGGCCTTCGGGCTACCCTACATGTCCTACTCCACCACATCCTTCCCTACCTCCATCAATACTCCCAATAGCCGAAATCCCGTTCGAAAACTACCTAAATACCTTCCTGTTGGCTTCAGATACCCCCCATGGCTGAAATCGCCTTCAAAAACTACCTAAATACCTTCTTGATGGCTTCAGATACCCCCCATGGCTGAAATCCCCTTCAAAAACTACCTAAATACCTTCCTGATGGCTTCAGATACCCCCCATGGCTGAAATCCCGTTCAAAAACTACCTAAATACCTTCCTGATGGCTTCAGATACCCCCCATGGCCGAAATCCCCTTAAAAAACAAAAATAACGACCGACCGGATGGAATGAGAGGAAAAAAAATGAAATCTCCCGTGAAAATTTTCATCCACGAAACGCGCGCCACCTGGCTCACTATGTCCAAAATCACCCCAACCTCCGTCCCCCACCCCTTTTACTAAGGAAAAAAACTTTCAAAGTTAATTTTAATAATTTAAACTAAAACTTTTTCATAATTTTTTTATCAGTTTGGGGGTTTCTGACGGCGCTCTATCCGAATCCGAAGAGAGCGAAGCTCTAGCTCCTTTCCCCTTCGAGTTGAATTCGGCTTCAGACAGACGGACAGACGCGTCAAGAAAATTATTATAGTTGATAACCAAAGATCATGTAATTTAAGGTAAGAGAAGCTATTGACAAATACGCCCCCCGCTAACGAACCAGAACCCACAAGCCCTACCAATCCCTTGAAAACCCCCACCATTTCAGACGGACGACCAGGACCACGTGAGCGGCATCTACCACGCGCGCCCGGCCATCGCCGGCTCGGTCAGCTCGGGCGATCGATTCTAGCCGGGATTTTGCTTTCCGACTTTCTTATAATTCCCGATTTTCAAACTAAACGCACTCATGATCCACGATCGGCGCATTTTAAATGCCGTGTATTCCAAGCAACACCAAGGCCGTCGAGTCCAACTTTGTTTATTTTACACACAATATAGAAAGATACCCAAAACACAGTTGAAGATTTGATCCGAAAATTAGACAAAAAGGGGGGCATACAGAGAGAGAAAAGAGATACTGAGAAAGGGGGGCGTGTGAGGTGAAAAAAGTAGCTGACGGTAGAAATGGGCGAGTTTTCTATACAACGCGTCGCTCTTTTGTGTGAAGTCGCGAGGTAGATGGTGATGGCCGAGGAGTCGAAGCAGTGCGGGTGGATACCTGGAAACAGGCAGCTGGCATACGGTAAATCGGGTGTAATCTGGGGTTTTTTGCATTATCGGAGGGGGTGGAAGTTTATCCAGGGAAAATAATTTTTGTATTAATCTAGAAATGCCTAGTAACCTAATAAAACGTATTTTCATAGTTTTTCGAAAACTCAAGCTACATTTTAACTAGAAAAACTTTTTTTAGACTTCCAGAAAATTTTCCAAAATCGAAATTTGGCCAAAAAACGATTTGAATACCAAATTTCTAAAGGTTTTTCGTTCGAACAGTAAAAAATAGTTTAGAAAAACTTCCATTATTTATATTGAAAAATTTGTTCCCAGGAAAAAATTCTTCTGCACCCGATAAGATTGCTCCGATATTGCGAAAGAACCTAATCTAGAAAACTGGGAAATCTGGCATACTTTAGGCTTGATTCGCGTGGTTTTTGTCGTGCTTGCCCCTCCTCACACCACGTCATCTACGCCTCGGGCTGCTTGGGCTCCTCCCTGAAAAAGGTGCTGGACGATTAGCGGGGGGGGGACGCACGGTGGGTTCGAGTTGAGGTCGGTGAGCGGGGCGGGTGACTTGTTGCCGCCGTCGGGGCTGCCTTCCGGCGAAGCCGCAGCAGACGGCTTCTGCACCATCGACTTCGGGGCGGACGGCTTCACAGGAGCCTTGGCAGCCCCTTGTTTCTTCCTGAAAAAACAGCATCTTCCTCCTCAAGAATTTCAGTGAAGTCTTCCGGATCTTTCGTACTATCGGGGGCATGGAGTCAAATTTTGTTCCAGAAGCCCAAAGACGGTAACGACGCGATAGTCAGTATTTTTGCTGTCTTTTTTAGCAAAATTGCACTGTATTTCACGTAAGAGACTTTGGGATTTTGATAGATTTAGACAATTTTGATCGAAAATCGTGTTTTCCGAATTTTTCTTTAGACAAACAGCCTCCGTTTCTTCCAGTTATCTAATAAAAAATGGCTAAAAGTCCTCCCCCCGTTAATGCCATAGATTCTGTTGTGTGGGTCTAAAAATGGCTGGTGCTGGAGGGTAGAGTCGATTTATTTGTGCTGCCTACAGTACTTGAGCATGATGAAGACGACAACACCAATGACGAGGAGCAGAATGATGGGGATGACGACGGCGAGGATGAGCACGAGCTAAATACAATTATTTGGATGGGGTGGATGAAGGGGAGGAGACTGACATTCGAGTCTGATGAGCCCGAGCATTTGCCGTCGCCCTTCACGTCACACGCCTTGTCGCTGCACTACAAACGGAAGTATGGATGTCTCTATGCAAGAAGTATCACTTCGTACCTCACACTTCTTTTGACACAGATATCCGTAGGTGCCCGTCGGACAGCTCTGCGTGACCGTCATCTTCACCGCGCTGGAAAAAAGCGGGATTCGACTGTCTCAAGTGACGTACTATTCTTCGTTATTCTGGTCAAAATTGATGACGTTATCGAAGGGGTCGGCAGTGAAGGTGGCGGGCGCTTTGAAAGGGTCAAATGTTAAGTATGCGGTGGAGATCCCGAATTGTAACCGTTCTTTGGCGTCGTCTGTCTGCAATTTTTTAGATTACAGAACGGCTTGTTCGAACACGCACCGATGCCAGCGTGGTAGCGTTGAGAATGTGGATGCAGATTGGCTTGTTCACCGGTTGATCGTCGGCGCTCTTTTTCAGGTAGAATAGGAATGGCTCAGACGGCAGAATCCCGCCTGTAAACATGGCTCTGGTCTGGAATCGCATAGAGTAAAGCCGAAATTTCTTTGAAAATTAATTACTCTTTTTGATCATTTTCCCACATTTTTTCACCAATGGACCAAAATTATTGGCAAGGGTTTACTTTACCCCCCCCCCCCCAAGCCGGAAGGTCCGAAAAATTTTTTTAAGGCCACCGATCGGTAGCCCTAGGTCCCAGCTACTATCCCCTGGCCGGGAATTGCGAAAAAATAAATATTAAAATTTATAAAAATAAAAGTGTGAGCGGATATTTGGATTTTGCTTGTTTTTGCCATAACTATTTTATTTTACATTATTTTGGGTTGTGATTCGAACTCTGAGTATATTTTTTGACGCTCTATCGAATGGTGTATCGAAAATGTCGGAAAAAACTAGCTTTTTTACCCCATTTTTAAAGGTTATTTTTGTTTTTGCTATAACTATTTTATATTACAACCAGGGTTGAAAAGCCGCTTCGCGACTTTTCAACCCTGGCCCTGTCCAACCCATAATATTCTTCACTCTGCATATGTTTCTCGAATTCCCTGCATTGAAAAAATGAAAAAGGCCCCTCTCTCGCATTATATATAGGCTACCGTCACTTCCGGAGTATGCTAATTTTTCCTAACAAAGATATCGGCCGATTTTTCAACAAAAACTTAATTTTAATGTCGAAAATAGCAGAATTTGCAACATTTGTTATGCGTGCAGTCATCCCAGAACCATTACGCACCTAATGACGTATCATACGTCGCTTAATACCCTTCCCTTCTTGAGATAGCTTCCGGACACCCTGACGGAAGTTGCATGCAAAGTGGCACACACACACACACACACAAACACACAGACACTATTTTTTTATATATAGTAGGATATTTTGAGCTGCTATAAAAACTCTTAGTATATTTTTTGATGCTCTATCGAATGGCGTCGAAACAATCCCGAAAAAAAAGCGTAACTGTCGAAAACTCTGGGACCCTCGGGCTAGGGGCGTAAAGTAAACCGTAGCCATTTTTCCAATATCCAAAAAAATGCCAAGAATTTTGTATGTCACAAAAAACGCAAAAAAGAAAGTTAGGTCGGCCCCAACAATCCCCTCGAGTTAAATTGTGTATCCCCCCCACGCTCGCATAGCCGACATTACCAAGCAGCGGAAGCTAGAAATTATTAAATTGTAAATCGATTGATCAGATCATGGCACCCACTAATCGTTGTCAAGTAGATGGAGATTAATTTGTCGTCGGGTTTTTGCTGATGCTTGTACTCGATGGCGGACGCGACGAACGTCACATGGTCAGCTGGACAGCTTGAGCCCGTTCCCAAGCCCAGCTTGATCGATTTGTCCGGGTAACCGGCAGCCTGAGACAAGGGAAATCTCATAAAATAACCCCAGAATTATCTACCATAGTTGAAGAGAAGAGGCCGAAGCAGACGATCAGCTGGACGATGAGCATCGTGAAGCGGTGGATGCTAAAAAAAAGGCTTGAAAAGGAGAATGAAAAGGCTTGGGCTGGCTGGGGGGGGGGAGAAGGGATGAGTGTACAAAAGTATTGCCCATTCCCTGTTTTCTGCTACGCCCCCTTCTGATGGTAAGATGAACAAGCAAAAACATTGTCGGATTGGCGAGCCCAGGGGTTAGAGTGCAGTTTACCCCCCCCCAGCCGCAACTTTTCAGCCATACGTCCTATTAATGCGCCGAGTATCTCAAAATGTTCGCCATGGTCGAATTACTATAAAAAAGTTGTTTTCTTGCCGCAAAAATCGCTAAAAAATTTTTTACAAGATTTTGAAAGTTGAAAAGATTAAGCCGCTATGCTTCGATGTACTAGGAGTCTAAAACTCAAATATTTTTATTTTCCGCTATTTTTTTCGACTCAAACGTATTGTAGGCTTATTCTCCAGAGCAAGAGCTACATTTTGGTACCATTGACAGCTCTGTACGACTAAAGATAGCCGAGATATGAAAACTCACTTTGGAACAGCAAAAATTAACTAAAGAAAACCCAGACTTGTAATTGTTATAAAAAATTTGGTACACATAGGGTAACGGGGGGGGGGAATAAAATAACGGGGGGCACTCATCCTACTATATATAAAAAAATAGTGTCTGTGTGTGTGTGTGTGTATGACACTTTGCATGCAACTTCCGTCAGCGTGTCCGGAGGATATCTCAAAGGGGGCGGGGATGAAGGGGGCGTATGATACGTCATTAGACGCGTAATGGCCTGTAGATGGCTGCACGCATATCAGATTTCGCAAAATCGATTGTTTTCGAAATTAAAATTAAGTTTTTCCTTAAAAATCGGACACACTCTTTGTTAGGAAAAAATTAGCATACGGCGGAAGTGGTATTAGTCTATATAATCGGGGAGAGGAAGCGATTTTCATTTTTTGACATAACAGTGCGGAAGGATTATGCAAAGCGAGGGATATCATGGGGTTGGACGGGGCCAGGGTTGAAAAGTCGCGAAGCGGCTTTTCAACCCTGGTTATTATGAAATTTGCAATTACTGAGGGATTTTGCGAGTGCCATTCGATAGAGCGTCGAAAAATATACTAAGAGAATTAATCGCAGCCCGAAATAATGTAATAGAAATTTTTTATTGAAGAAACAAAAATTGAGGAAAATCTATGGGCAGCACATAGGATAACGGGGGGAAAGTCAAATTTTCGAAATTTTCGGTATTTTGAAAACGTCATTCGGTAAAGCGTCGAAAACTGCCCTAGGAAAATTAATTTCAGCCCGAAATAATGTAAATGAAATTTTTTATCGAATAAACAGAAATTGATCAAAATCCATGGGCAGCACATAGGATAACGGGGGGAAAGCCAAATTTTTGAGATTTTCGATATTTTGAAAACGCGAATCGATAGAACATCAAAAAATATACTAAGAAATTTTTTTGCAAGGCGAAAAAATGTATTATAAAAGTTTTATAGCCTAAAAACTATTTTTAAAAACTATGGGCAGCACATAGGATAACAGGGGGGGATTTTTTCGGCGTTTTGAATATTTTCGATATTTTGAAAATGCCATTCGATAGAGGACCGAAAAATATACTAAGTTTTTTTTACAGCCCGAAAAAAGCATATTTAAAAATATTTTTATCATATAAAAAGTTTGAGTGCCCCCCCGTTATTTCCCCCCCCCCCGTTATCCTATGTGTACCAAAAATTTTCTAACAATTTTCGATGTAAGAAAACAACTTTTTTATAGTAATTCGACCACGGCGAACATTTTGAGATACTCGGCGCATTAATAGGACGTATGGCTGAAAAGTTAGGGCTGGGGGGGGTAAACTGCACTTAAGCCAGCCCGGGAATTCCGGTAGATGAGCAATACCCTACTCTTTTACAAGGCAAAAAGGACTAGGGCTGAATGGCAAACAAAACAAGAGCCAAGTCAAGATTCAATGGCATAATGGCACTACCTTTGAGAAGTGTGGACATCCGATGGACGACGCATCGCTCCAGTTGACGGTCGCGTCGGCAGAACCAGATGCAGACGGGAAGGTAGAATGGGTGGACGCGGCTCCAGTCCATTTCCTTTTCCCACAGCAATACACGCTAATCTCGATGCTAATTAGCGGAATGTACGCTAATTTCTACATCCACCAATTCTAGTTTGGTGCTTCGCAAGTGCCATGGTAATTTAGTCAAATCGAATCAAAGCAAAATCAGATCAAACTTGCACTTGGAGTGGATGCGTTTCGGATAATGCTGTAAGACTCTACAGAGTGGAAAAAGGGCGGATCGGGATGATTTTGAGGCTAAGGTTTACTTTACCCCCCTGCCGAGGGCTCCAAATTTTCAATATTTTGCTATTGTTCCGGCAGGTTTTGACGCCATTCGATAGAGCATCAAAAAAATATTGGTAGTTTTTATGGCGGCTCAAAATATTGTAATATAAAATAGTCATAGCAAAAACCAAAATAACCTCTAAAAATGGGATTACAAAGCTAATTTTCGATATTTTCGCTATTTCTTTCGACATTTCCCATAAGCCATTCGATAGAGCATGAAAAATAAACATGAAGTGTTTTAATTGCAGCCCAAAATAATGCAATATAAAATAGTTATAGCAAAAACAAAATTTAAACGCGATTTCCCTATGAGAAGAAGAGGTGTTCCGACATTGTCACAAAATTTCTTGAACGCCATTCGATAGAGCGTCAAAAAAGATACTAAGCATTTTAATTATAACCCAAGATAATGTAAAATTAAATAGTTAAGGCAAAAATACGCAAAATTCGGATAACCTGCCAAACTCGATTTTAATTTTATAAATTTTAATATATATTTTTCTGCAATTCCCGGCCCGGGGATAGTAGTTGGGACCTAGGGCTACCGATTGGTGGCCTTAAAAAATTGTTGGGACCTTCCGGATGGGGGGGTAGAGTACACTCTTACCAGCTCGCGTTTCAATCTCTCGTCCTTATTGCCGTGTAGAAAAGGTTCTTCAGCTACTTGAATTCCCTGATTTGTTCATCTACCGGAATTCTCTGACGCGCCAATTCGACATGTTGTTGCTTGCTCAACTTACACCCCGAAGGGGGCTTTACCCAAAACAAGCTCGGGGAATGGGCAATATTTTTGTACACTCAGCGCATACCCCCAGCACGCCCAAGCCATTTCATTTAACCTTTCAAGCTTTTTTTCAGCATGATGCTCATCGTCCAGCTGATCGTCTGCTTCGGCCTCTTCTCTTCAACTATGGTAGATAATTCTGGGGTTATTTTATGAGATTTCCCTTGTCTCAGGCTGCCGGTTACCCGGACAAATCGATCAAGCTAGGCATTGGAACGGGCTCAAGCTGTCCAGCTGACCATGTGACGTTCGTCGCGTCCGCCATCGAGTACAAGCATCAGCAAAAACCCGACGACAAATTAATCTCCATCTACTTGACAACGATTAGTGGGTGCCATTATCGGATCAATCGATTATCGGACCTAAGCCGATACAATTTAACAATTTCTAGCTTCCGCTACTTGGTAATGTCGGCTACGTGGGGGGATACACAATTTAACGCGAGGGGACTGTTGGGGCCGACCTAACTTACTTTTTTGCGTTTTTTGCGACATACAAAATCCTTGGTATATTTTTGGCTATTGGAAAAAATATCGGGCTCAGGTCTAGGAATACCCCCCCAGCCACAACTTTTCGACCATACCTCCTATTAATGCGCGGAGTACAGAATGTTTGACGTGGTCGAATTACTATATCAAAGTTGTTTCCATACATGAACAACTGTTAAAAAAATTTTTATGACAATTATAAGTCGGGGTTTTCTTTAATTAATTTTTCCTGGTCTAAAGTGAGTTTTCGTATCTCGTCTATCTTTAGTCGTACAAAGCTGTCAATAGTATCAAAACGTAGCTCTTGCTCGGTAAAACCAGCCTACAGTACATTTTACTCGAAAAAATAGCGAACAAGAAAAAAAATTGGGTTTTAAACGCGTAGTACATTGAGGCATGGCGACCGACGCAGACGGAAGTGGATGCAAAATGGCACACACAGACACACACAGACACTATTTTTTATATATAGTAGGATAAACCTTTTTACCGTATTTTAACACAGTTTTTTACAAAACACAGGTTTTAGGTAAAAAAAGGACAAAAATAATTTTGATCCATTGGTGAAAAAATGTGGGAAAATGAGCAAAAAGAATAGTTAATTTTCAAAGAAAGTTCGACTTTACTTTATGCGATTCCAGACCAGAGCCATGTTTTAGGTGGGACTTTGTCTTCTGAGCCGCTCCAATTCTACTTGAAAAAGAGCGCCGACGATCAACCGCTGAACAAGCCAATCTGCATCCACATTCTCAACGCTACCACGCTGGCATCGGTGCGTATTCGAATAAGCCGTTCTGTAATTTAAAAAATTGCAGACAGACGACGCCAAGGAACGGTTGCAATTCGGGATCTCCACCGCATACCCAACCTTTGACCCAAGCAAAGTGGCTTTCAAAGCGCCCGCCACCTTCACTGCCGACCCCTTCGATAACGTCATCAATTTTGACCAGAATAACGAAGAATAGTACGTGACTTGAGACAGTCGAATCCCGCTTTTCTTCCAGCGCGGTGAAGATGACGATCACGCAGAGCTGTCCGACGGGCACCTACGGATATCTGTGTCAAAAGAAGTGTGAGGTACGAAGTGATACTTCTTGCATAGAGACAGCAATACTTCCGTTTGTAGTGCAGCAACAAGGCGTGTGATGTGAAGGGCGACGGCAAATGCTCGGACTTATCAGACTCGAATGTCAGTCTCCTCCCCTTCATCCACCCCATCCAAATAATTGTATTTAGCTCGTGCTCATCCTCGCCGTCGTCATCCCCATCATTCTGCTGCTCGTCATTGGTGTCGTCGTCATCATCATGATCAAGTACTGTAGGCTGCAATAATAAGTCGGCTCGTCTCGACAGCACCAGCCATTTTGATTAACACAACATATCATTGGTGCCTGTGTGTCGCCCTCACGCGCTAAAACCCCACCCCCGCTAACGAACAAGCACTTCAAAAATTTCTCAATTAGCCTGGGGCACGGAAAATGAACCATTCAATTTTTGACCATTTTTCTAAGCTGTTTAATAGCAATCAGGCATGTGTTAAAACACAAATAAAAAAAGACGAATAAGCCCCAAAGACTATCTTTGCTCAGGGCGCAGAGATTTTTTCGTTTTTAGTTGTGTTTCAGAACCGAGCCGAAGATCTAGAAGACGGCGATACGAGAGACGACCACGAGACGCAAGCATCACAAAGACGGCCCGCTTCAAGCTAAAGGTATACCAGATTCCCAATTTTTAAAACACACCACGGTTACCCTATGCCATCTGCGTGTTTTTAGCTATTCACCAGCACTGCTTCGACTTCTCGGCCATCACCATTTACCCCGCAACATCACGCAAAAAGAGCGACGCGTTGGATAGAAAACTCATTCATTTCTACCGTCAGCTTCTTTTTCACCCCGCTCCCCGTTTTTCTGTGTATCTCGCTCTGCATGCCTCCCCTTTTTGTCTAATTTTCGGATCAAATCTTCAACTGTGTTTTGGGTATACCTTTCTCTGACTGGCGTAATAAAGAATATTGGGCTCGAAGATATGTTGGCAGTGTTACGGTCTCTTTGTCTGTCTCTCTCTCCCTCTCTCTCTCTCTCTCTCTCTCTCTCTCTCTCTCTCTCTCTCGCTCTCTTTCTCTTTCGTGCGCGCTCTCTCTCTGTCTCTCTCTCCTTTTCTCTCTCTCGCTCTCTCGCTCTTTCTTCTCTCTCTCTCCCTCTCTATCTCCCTCTCTCTCTTGCCTGCCTCCCTTTCTCCGACTTTCCTAAAGCAAAGCAGGGATGCCTATTTGAAAAGGCAGGAGATCATTTGCATAAACATTTTACCTGGCAAATTTACAAAGTGAAAGTGCGGATCTAGCTGAATGCGAAAAGCCGGCGGTCCGGCAAAATTCTTTGTATCACCTCCCTGCATCGATTTGTGGCTTCTCGAGGAGTCATCTCGGAATTGAGGTCAGAATTCACGCGGTTTCATAACGATGTTTTCGCGGCGAAAATGAGGGGCAAGACAAAACTCGGATTTGTTGGGTCTATTAATTTGTCTCTCACATCCTCTCCCTCCCACAAATTAACTTTCCAGCCGCTGCGATCGACGTGTTGGCAATGATGGCTCTCCGGCTGCTGATCCCGCTCATCCTGTTCTTCCCTTACTTGGTGGTAATCTGGGTTTTAAGGCTGTACCTACCTGCTGATGGTATATAACGTTTTTTGGCTTAAGTGCGGTTTACCAGCCCCCCCCAGCCGACCACCACCTATCGTATCTCAGCACCCTGTTCATCTACTGGTGTGTAAAGTATAGCAAAATACTCGCCATAGCAAGACAAACATTTTGGTATCCTTTACATCGCTGTAGATTAACCGGGAGCCGAGAAACAAAAGTTGGGTGCCGGCTCGAGGGGGCGGGGGTAAAGAAAACTCTTTTACAAAATTTTTCTCAGGAGCTAATTTCTTAATTAACAATAGCGGCAGTGTCTCTAAACTAAAAGTTTTTAAGCACTGAAAGTTCATCTAAAAAGCTTTTAGTAAAAACCTTAGAAATTTTTCGAAAAAATTCAAAAAGTGCCGGTTTTCGACCAAAATGGCCATTTTTTGAGCTAAGATTTTTCAATTTTTGGCCAGTTGTTCAAAGTTTTTAGCTGGTTTTTCCTGTAAAAAAAAGGGGGGAAAGACGGTTTCCCCCCCCCCCCCCCCCCCCCCCCCCCCCCCCCCAAAAAAAAAAATATTTAATTTTTTAATAATTTGTTTTTATACCACCAATAAAAAGAGGAAGAAAAAAATTTCTTCATAAAATCAACCCCCCCCCACCCCCCAAAAAAAAAAAAAAAAAAAAAAAAGAGGAAGAAAAAAAGAAAAAAAAAAAAAAAAAAAAAAAAAAAAAAAAAAAAAAAAAAAAAAAAAAAAAAAGAGAATAAAACCTGAGGCAAAAACCCAACAAAAAAAAAAAAAAAAAAACCCCAAACACCCCCCCACACCAGAAAACCCCCAAAAACCCGAAAAAAAAGGAAGGAAAAAGGGAAAAAAAAAAAAAAAAAAAAAAAAAAAAAAATAATACAGCTTTTTCTACTAGAAAAATGATACACTTCCTACTAATTAATAGGCATTGCTGGGGTAATACGACAAAAATTGTAAAACTCCCCTACCCCCCCCCCATTAATAAATAGTTCAGGACCGACTGACTAACTCCCCCGTTTCAGACAGCGTTCTTCCAAAGTGTCTGGCTCTCTGAAAGCCAGCGTGGACGATGCCCGGCCGACCACATCACGTACGTGCCCTCCGACGTGGCGTTCACGTATCTGGGGCCAGCGCTCGAAGGAACGCTGGCCACGCCCGCTCCCATCGTCAAGCCCAACCGTATTGGTGCGTACCACAGATGATTGGCTTGACTGGATTTGGTAGCTAACCGGGCTGACGTCTCGACCAAAATTCGAGCCCGCATTTTCCATATAAATTGCGGACCCGTTTTACATAGTTTTTTACAATGCGAACAGCAAAAATACGGAACTTTTTATTTTTTGTAGTTTGACGCGGTTGTGCTCAAAGTTACGCGCAAACAGACGTTTTGGTTAAAAACATGCACAAAAAGTGATAAAAATGTCGGAAAATGGTTCTTTCGCATTATTGGGGGGGAGGAATAGTCTTTTGCATTAATCTAAAAAATCCTAGTAACGGAATAAGAAAAATTTTTATACTGTTTTTAATAAAACAAAATTATCTTTAAACTGGAAAAACTGTTAAAAAAAAACTTTGAACGATTTTTCAAAAAGGTCAGGCTTTTTGGGTTTCTTTGGTTTTTCTTCCCTCCAACGCCCCCCCACCCCCGGTAATGCACAAGAATCGGCCGATCAACTATAATAATTTTGTTGTGGTGTCCGTCAGTCAGTCTGTCTGAAGCCAACTATAACTCGAAGGGGAAAGGAGCCAGAGCTTAGCTCTCTTCGGATTCGGATAGAGCATGGTCAGAAACCCCTTAAATGATCAAAACATTATAAAAAAGTTTTCGTTTAAATAAAAATAATTAACTTTGAAAGTGGCGCCTTAATAAAACGAGTGGGGGCCCCTTTCCCGGGAGGCCACGCCCCCTTTCCCTTCGCCCCTCTTCCCCAGGCCCCTTCTCGCGCCCAGATGCCTTTTTTGAGTTACTTTAATACTTTTTAATACTTTTTAATTATTTTAATTCGTTATTTAAATCATTTAAAGTATCGATATGGAATCTAAGTAGTTTTGGAAGGGGATTTCAGCTATGGGGGGTATCTGAAGCCATCAGGAAGGTATTTAGGTAGTTTTGAAGGTGATTTCAGCTGTGGGGGGTATCTGAAGCCATCAGGAAGGTATTTAGGTAGTTTTTGAAGAAGATTTCAGCTATGGGGGGTATCTGAAGCCATCAGGAAGGTATTTAGGTAGTTTTTGAAGGGGATTTCAGCCATGGGGGTATCTGAAGCCATCAGGAACTATCTAAGTAGTTTTGAAGGGATTTCAGCTATGGGGGGTATCTGAAGCCATCAGGAACGTATCTAAATAGTTATTTAAGGGGTTTTCGGCTATGGGGCGTATTTGGAGCCATCAGGAGTTTTCTAAGTAGTGTTTTAACGGGGGTTTCGGCTATGGGGGGTATCTAAAGCCATCAGCACGGATATTGATAAAGTTAGAGAAGGAATGTGGTGGTGTAGAATATGGAAGGTAGCCCGAAGGCCAGCCGATTACAGCCGCGACGCGGCTGTAATCGGCTGGTTTTTAGATAAATTTTCTATTGTTCAATTTCAGTAGTTTTCGATTGCTAGAAACCTGTAAAATATCTTAAAATTTGAAATGTGGAAATTTTGACTTCTTTCTGGTAATTTTTCATACATTTTTCTCCAAAAAACGGGTCCCACAGGGCTGTAACGTATACCAAAATGTTCGTCCTGAGCTTGCGAGTAATTTGGGATACTTCCAAGCCCTGTAACATGACGCGTAGTCGCTTTCAGAAGGCATCCAACCGTCCCATGACTGGGCACTCTTCGAGGGATCGTCCCAGAAGACTACGTTGTACGCGATGTGTCTCCGCATAAACGATGCAAACAAACTCGTTGAGGTAAGCCCCCAAGGGAAGTAGGTGGTTCGTTAGGGGCGGGGTATTGAGGCCTTAACGGGGGGTGGGTTTCTAGCGGGGAAGGAGCTATCTAACCTTAACCTACATAGCGTATCTTCGGCGTTTTCTAGTGTCAGCAATCGGCAATTTTTTATATAAGTCTAGAAATTTCTAGTAAGGTAACATTGAGTTGTTTTAAAGAATGTTATGATTAAAATTCATGCCACTTCTAACGAAAAAAACTAAGTCTCCGAAAAACTTCTAAATCCGAATTTTTGATCGTCAAATCGATATTTTGGGTATTTTTAGACAAAAACGCTCCCCCGCTACGGGGGGGTTTTGGGCTTGGCTCCCCCCCAAATTTATTTTTTGAATTAAATGCAAAATTTGTGATTCCGGGGGGGGGGGGGGGGGAATAAAAAATTATATAAAAATTCCCCTTTTCCCCCCGCTAATAGCTCGGTACCAGCAGAGCAGCTTCAGTTAATAGATATCAACATTTTTACATGATAATTTCAGACCACGGCCCGCGATACGCTCAACATTGGGTTTAAGTCACAGCGCTCCTTCCGCAGTAAGCATATGACTCCTTTTAATCGTGGGATTCTTCAGACGAGAAAAATGCGCAATATCTGGACGGGGCCTGCGTGTTCAAGGCGTCCGTCCCATTCCAACCGTCGATCCGTGTCGAGCTGCAAAATGCAGACTTGTGAGTGGTCAGGGGTTGCCTGGGGTAAGCCTGAGCTTCGGTGTGGCCGATTTTAACCCCAAAGCTAAGCCTAAGCAGCAGCCTAAGCTTAAACCTAAGCCGGAGCGTAAGCCGTAGTCTAAGCTTAAGCCGAAGCCTCGCCTAAGCCTATGCACAAGCTTAAGCCTAAGCCTTAGCAAAAACTTAAGCCTAAGCCTAAGCTTAAACCTAATCCGAAGCTTAAGCCTAAGCCCATGCTGAACGTTTGCCGAAGCCTACGCCTAAAAGCCTAAGTAGAAGTGCCTAACCTAAGCTTAGGCCGTAGCCAAAACCTGAACCTGAGCCTAAGCCTAAACATAAGCTTACTTGGTACCTTCTTGTATTTCAGCAACATCAAGATGACGCTGACGCAGGGATGCCCGGACGGGCTCTGGGGCTACCTGTGCCAGGGGAGATGCGAGGTGCGTACAATTTTTCGTTACGCAACCGCAGCGTGTCGCGTTACCTGTCAAGTTGCCTATCGCATTACGCCTCGCGCTGCGTATCGCGCGGCGTACCATTTTGTGTGCCGCCTAGCGGGTCGCGCCGCGTATCGCGTTGCGTGTCGCGGAGCAAACCCTAGGGCAGACTTTCGAGTTCCTTTATAAGCCAATTTTCAGTGCAAGGGCGGTACTTGTGATGTGAGGGATGGAATCTGTACGACGGCCGAACCGGAGAAGGACATGGTAGGATATACATGAGCTTGAGCCCAAGCCTGAGCCTAAACCTGGGCCCAAACTTAAGCTTAAGCCTAACCTAAGCCCAAGCCTAAGACTAAGACTAAACCTAAGTCTATGCCTAACCCTGCCTTTAGTCAGCACTCTGGTACGTCATCATCGGCTGCGTGGTGGGCTGCATCTTTTGCGTGAGCATCATCTTGGCCGCCATCGCCGCCTTGTACGTCATTTCCTAGGAGGTCAAGCCCCCAATTTTAGCATCTACACCAAGCGCAGGAGGTCCCGCCGCGGCGGCAAGAACAGGAAGCGGAAGGACCGCGACCCGACCGTCACGGAAGAGACGACCGCCAGTGTTGAGGACACTACCGTTGGATCGTGAGTTTGAAAAGATTCTTGAGCGTCAGATCTCGGTGTTTTTGCATTATTAGGGGTTATTCAGCAGAATTTTTTGTGCAATTCCAGAAATTACAAGTAATGCAATAGTAAGTATTTTTATATCGATCTTAGGAAAACTTAAATGATATTGTTAAAGCACGAAATTTTCGTTAAAATCTATTTTAAGTAGACAACTCGGTTCTGGACTGTTCACGGGGAGATTAATGGGAGGAACCAAATTTTTCCCATTAATTCCGTACGGCCCTATTACGAAACATAGACCATTGTTAAAGCATTTTACATATTATCATTTAGAAGTTCATAAAAACTCATCAACATTTTGAAAAAGTGTCAAAAAATTCTCGGTTCTTTAGATTCGGGAACCAATTTTTTCCTGGTGGTCCCGTTTGACCTAGTAATCAAATATAAAGCGTTTTCAGATTGGTTTTAGTAAATTCTAACTATATTGAAGGTAGAAAAACTTTCAAAAAAAAAGTTTGAAAAACGTTTCCAACGTCGAACCGCTAATCAGTCATTAGGGTCTTCCCGCCCCCGATAATGCACAAAATCCATTAATTTTTAGCGTCGAGTGCCGGCGCCACCACTGAAAGCGTCAGCGCCCGCATGATGTCTGGAGAACCAAGAATCCATAACAACTCGCCATCAGCATTTGCCTTTTACCGTTGTGATACATGTTTGCGAATGCAATAAATATAATTGGGCAATTTCCATACATTTATTCAATTTGAATGAACTTTTTATGAACTACGGCATTTCACCCGGGAATGGGTTTTTTTTGAGAAACTGTTCATCTCAAAAAACCAGGCTCCACGGGTTTCCGTTTCTCGATGCAGCTCGTCTTGCTGGTGACGCTGGGGGTCGCCTGGCCAACGTTGCTGGTATGGTCATTGCTTTTGCGGATCTTTTACATTAACGAGGGAGGAGCTTTATCAAGGGAAAGGTCAACTTTGGGCTTAAGTGCAGTTTACCCCCTCCCCCCGCCCCGCTGACCCCACCTACCGTATCTCGGCTCTCTGTTCATCTACAGATGTCTACAGTATACCAAAATACTCGCCAGGGCAAGGGAAAAGTTTTGTTATACTATACCCACCTGTAGACCAACAGGGAGCCGAGATACCAGAGTTGGGCGCCGGCTGGGGGGGAAGCTGCACTCTTACCCAACTTTTAGCATTGGTTGACTGCGGAACGTGTTTCTATACTTTCTCTGATGCCCCCCACCCCGATAATGCAAAAGCTCCGAAACTCTCTCTCTCTCTAGGCTCAGTCGCCGACCTGGAAGCCCGAGCTGGGCTTCGGTGTCGACTACGAGGGTGAGGAGCACTGCAGGGACAGCAGTCGAGTGAAGTTCCGTGTCATCGCCGTCGAACACAGCTACAACGAGACGATCCTCAATTCCGGAACCATGCCCGACCTTGATAAGTGGTCGGTAAAGAAGATGGCCATCATGACCATGGGTGAGTGTTTTTGGCAAGTCTTGCTCTTCAGGTCAAGAAGACTGGCTACGCTTAGGTTTAGGCTTAGGCTTTGGCTTAGGCTTGGGCTTCGACTTAGGGGCCGGCTTAGGCTTAAACTTAAGCTTAGGTTTGGGCTTCGGTTTCAACTAAGGCCTAGGCTTGGCTTAGACTTACGCTTAGGCTTGGCTTAGACTTGGGTTTAGGCTTAGGCTTAGTCTTAGGCTTATTAGGCGTATGCTGAGGCTTCGGCTTCGGCATAGGCTTACCTTTAAAACGACAAGAAAACGGAGACCAGTCGTACGCTACGACCCCATCACCCTAGGTGATGCTTCGCTCACGGAGAAGCCTATTTACGCAGCCAACGACTGGGGGCAAGCTAGGTTTCCCCGACCGATCTGCATCTCAGTGCAAGATGCTACCCGGCTGTTCCTGGTAAGGCTCTCGGTACTGGGCTGTTAGCGGGGGGAGATTTTTTGTAGGGAGAAATCATAATGTTTGAATTTTCAAAAATTTTAAGAATCTTTTTTTTAACTTTTAGCAATCAAAAACCGCTCTAAACATTATAAAAATGCTCTATTTGTTACTGGTATTATCACCCCTCTTCAGGGCAGCGGAAAAGACGAACTCAAAATCGTGCTGGCGACGGCGGTGAATAGCCCGGTATTCCATGATGAGACGAAGCATCTCTTGCCCGAACCCGTGTTCTTCCGGCCCGGCAACCCGTTCAAGGACGCCATTGATGTGGCCCAACAAAACGATCAATAGTAGGGTGGAAGCTTTGTTAATGAATTTCATAATTTTTCAGCACTGTTAGTTTCCAGCTGCAGCAGCGCTGCCCGATCGGACGCTTCGGATATTTATGCCAGAAGCGATGCTCGGTAGCGTGCCTTCTCCTTTTCTCTCTGTCTCTCTCTGTCTCTCTCTGCCTCTCTCCTTCTCTCTCTCGCTTTTCCTACTCCCTCTCCCTCTCTCTTTTCCTCTCTCTCGCTCACGCTCCCTCTCTTTCTCTCTCGCTTACGCTCCCTTTCTTTTTCACCTCTTTCCTCTCTCTCCCTCTTTCCCCCTTTTTCTCGATCGCTTTCTCTTTCCCTTTCTCTCTCTCTCTCTCTCTCTCTCTCTCTCTCTCTCTCTCTCTATCTCTCTCCCTCTATCTCTCCCTTTAGTGTGATGACAAACCATGTTCGGTTGACCGTGGTATCTGTCCGGCCCGTCCTTTTACTCCTCCGGAAGCTGTGGGTCTTTATTAGCTCTACACACTGGACCTTCTTTAGAGCTCCGAAGAGGTCGCCTGGTGGATCTTTGTCCTGATCGGATTGATCGTCGTCTTCGGCCTCTGCTGCTTTCTCATTGTTGCTTTCTGCATCGTGAGGTGGGGCTTAGGCTTAGGAAACGGTTAGGCTTAGGCTGATGGGGCTTAGGTATAGCTTAGGCTTAGGCTTAGGCTTAGGCTTAGGCTTTCGCTTTTCCAGCAAAATTCTGAAGAAGAAGCGTGCCCACCGCTCGCGACACCATGATAGCCCTTCGACCGAAGATGAGAGCAAGGAACATCGATCGAAGAAGCACAAGAAGCACAAGCGGAAGCAAAGGGACCCCACTGTCTCCGAAGAAGCCGGTGGAACTACGGATGATATCGCTTAAGGTGAATCGATCGTTGGATCTACTCGACTAATTTTTGAATATTTTGAAGGTGTAGCCAAGCGAGGACACTGAAGCCGGATCGCATCAAGAACCAAGCCTACCTGTCGACTTTCTAGCATCGATTCCTATCATTCGAATTGTTTTGTGCTCCGTCTCTTGATAAATGCTTGAAACCATTTAATCATTCGCGGTTTAAATTCAATATTTAAATTGTGAGATTTGCATAAAGCTTTTGAAATGAATCATCAAAAGTCACTGTTCTTTTCGATCGCCTCCGAGGAGCTCTACCCCAATCATCAGATTTTCGTTACAATCCAGCCGGGCCTTATGCAGCTGATCTTTTTCGCTGCGTCACTTATCGTACTGACGTCATTTCGGGTACGTGTTGGGGTTCTGGACTGTTAACGGGGGGGGACCACTTCCTGCTTTTCTGCCTACACTTACCGGTTGATTATAATTAGTGTTTTTTATGTGGTTTTTAGTTTGATACCAGGGTTGAAAAGCCGCTTCGCGGCTTTTCAGCCCTGGCCCGTCTGACCCCATTTTATCCTTCACTTTGAATACTTGTACTGAATTCAGTTGGCAAAAAATGAAAACCACTTCTTCTGCCGCTTTATATAGTCGCGTCCCCACTTCTGGTCTATGTTAATTTTTTTAACAAAGAAGTTTTCACAAAAACTTAAATTTGATGTCGAAAATCTCCGTAGATGTCCTCTCGCGTAGATGCTCCCTTAAATTCTTGTCCCCAAACTGCCATTATATTCCGTCTAAAGTCTTTAAAAATCATCTTTCCCGACTTATCCACATCTCCTATCTACTGTAATGGTGTTCTCGTCATTCTACTCTTCTATTCCATTCCCCCTCTTTCACATCTTCATAATATTTATGGTTCTGTTCTATTTCGCGGGGGAAAAACTGTGCGGGGGGAAATTTTCTTCGTTTTGTTATAACTCTTTTATATGATGCTATTTTGAGTTGTCATTAAAACTCTTAGTATATTTTTTGACGCTCTATCGAATGGCATTAAAGAAATTTTTGAAAGTTATCGAAAATGTCGAAAACTAGCTTTCGACTACACGATCCCATGCGGAAACACCGAATAAACCTTGTTTTTGCTATAACTATTTTATAAAACAATATTTTTAGATGAAATTAAAACTCTTAGTATATTTTTTGATGCTCTATCGAATGACGGGTTCAAAATATCGAAAAAATGGCGAAAATGCCGAAAACTAACATTCCGGAACCCGTTTCAATAGTTTTTTTTTTGTTTTTGCTATAACTTTTTTGTATTACAATATTTTTAGCTAAAACATAAACTCTTAGTATATTTTTTGATGCTCTATCGAATGGCGTTGCAAAAATCCCGAGAAAATAGCGAAAAGATGGAAGGTTCCGCGAAGAAAATTCCCCCCCGCACAGTTTTTTCCCCCCCGCGAAATAGAACAGAACCATATTTATAATTAATCATAATTTTCCCCTTATTTATCTATCCTCTCCACCACTCTATTTACACCTGATTCCTCACACTGTAAGAGTTGACTTTGTGAACCTTTTGTGAGAATAAATATTATTATTATTATTAAAATCAATAATTTTGTAAAATCTGATAGGTGTGCAGTCATCCCAAGACCATTGCGCACCTAATGACGTATCACACCTACTTTAAAATCCATCCTCTATCAAGATATCCCCCGGACAGACAGACGGAAGTGGATGCAAAGTGGCACACAGACACACATACGAACACTATTTTTTTATATGGTAACACTCTAGTTTACCCCCCCCCCCCCAGACGCCCCTTTTCTCTGCGCCCTCTCCCCCTGGCCTACTATCTCTTCGCCTGCGCCCTCTCCCCCAGGCCTACTATCTCGCCTGGGGGGGGGTAAACTAGAGTTTAGCCTTTTATATATAGTAGGATAGTTTTTGATTGCTAAAAAGTTATGAAAAACATTTTAGAAAATTTAAAATTTGAAAAATTGAAAATTCGAAATTTTTACCTTTTGTGGTTCATTTTCCATACAAAATTTTTATGATTTTCTGATGTTATTTTTATAGCTAAAAACTGTGTAAAATCCTATAAAAAATGGTTTATATTTGGCTATAGGCCTTAGAGAATCACAGAGAAAAATTTGGCTTCCCCCCCCCGCTAACAGCCCAGAACCCTTTCTTCCAGGCGCAGCCCGACTCGCACACCTGGCGCCCCGACCTGGGCGCCGGCGGCAAAGACACGAATGGGGAATATTGTGAGGATCGTAGTCGCGTGATGTTCTCAGCAGTCGACGTCTCGTACAAGTTCATCGCCCGCACTATCAAAGACGAGCCGGTGAACGAAATTATGCAGGCACACGCCAGACTGATCAACATCGCCGTCAAGTCGATGGGTTGGTTTTTTGATAATGCGTAGGCTTAGGCTTAGGCTTAGGCTTAGGCTTAGGCTTAGGCTTAGGCTTAGGCTTAGGCTTAGGCTTAGGCTTAGGCTTAGGCTTAGGCTTAGGATTAGGCTTAGGCTTAGGCTTAGGCTTAGGCTTAGGCTTAGGTTTAGGTTTAGGGTAAGACTCCAGATCCCCCAGCCGGCACCCAACTTTTGTATCTCGGCTCCCTGTTCATCTACAGTTGTGTAAAGTATACCAAAATGTTCGTCTTGCTGTGGCGAGTATTTTCGTATACTTTACACACCGGTAGATGAACAGGGAGCCGAGATACGGTAGGTGGGGGTCGGCTGGGGGGGTTATCTGGAGTTTAGCCAGGTTTAGCCTTTTCTAGTAATCTTGAGCTGTCCCTTCAGGCGACGCCCAGCTCTCACACAAGCCCATCTTCGCGAGCCTGGGCCCGGACAGGCCGCGCGATCCGCATCCGCTGTGCCTCACTTTGCAAGATGCGACCAGGCTTGCCGAGGTGTTTTGCTATTTCTTGGCAAAAAGTTGTAAAGTTTTGACGTCTAGGAATATTAAAAACTATTTAAAATCAAGTTTTTCTCGCCCCCCGTTAAGACATCAGAACCTATATTTCGGGTTTTAGACAAGCGGCAAAGACATGCTGGTCCTCATCCTGACAACGGAGGCGACTTATGGCGAGTTTCCGGAGCCCGGTGCCGTCGTACTGCCTGATCCGGCAATTTTTAGCCGAGGCAACACGTTCCGTGGGGCTGCCGAGCTGCATTCGACGAATGCGCATTAGTGGGATTTGACCTATTTTATAGGTAATGATGTCCGGTATCTAGTTACGTCAGCATGAAAATCATCCAGCGATGCCCGGATGGACGATACGGGTATCTATGCCAGACCCTCTGCCCGGTATCCGCTTTTCCAGGAACGAAACGAAATCTGTTTGAATTTGTCAAAAGATGAAATTTTTTAGACGGTTTCACGAAATAATCGGTACTTTTGCATTATCGGGGGGTGGAGGAAAAAGTTTTTTATTAAGATAAAATTTTCTGAAATATCAAAAGCGGCAGTGTTTCTAGGCTGTTTTTTACTATTCCTAAGCGTCAAAATTTTACAAAATGTTATTAAAAATTTACATTCACGTCGCAAAATTTATTTTTCGAGCCAAAATGTCCAAAGTTTTGGCTTTTTTCCCATGACAAGAGTGTTGTGTTTAGTGTGCGGCTAACTGGCCGTGTTCCGTCGAATTCGGCGTGTGCGTGCCGCATCCCACCCCGAACGCCATCAAGGTGGATTCCGTCGATAACCCTATCAAATTTTTAGGCCGAAAACGGGTGGCTCTTTCTGTTGCTCGGGCTGGCCGCCGTCTGCTGCTTCTGCGTGGTGATCATGGGCGTCTTCGGCGTTATGGTGTAGCGTTTTGACTGCAGATTCCACATAGGGCTAAGCTTGTTGCGCTTAAGCTCACGTTTGCGCTTACGCTCAGGCTTGGGCTTAGGCTTAGGAATAGGTTAGGCTTAGGTTGAGGCTTATGCTTAACCGTGAGCTTAGGCAGCTTCAGCTCCTCATTTCCGCTTTTCCAGCAAGATTCTGAAGAAGAAGCGTGCCCACCGCTCGCGACACCATGATAGCCCTTCGACCGAAGATGAGAGCAAGGAGCATCGATCGAAGAAGCATAAGAAGCACAAGCGGAAGCGAAGGGACCCCACTGTCTCCGAAGAAACCGGTGGCACCACCGAGGATATCGCATAAGAAGCGCCGGCAGGGGAGCTGCATCATACTACGGATGACCAAATGAAGGAGACCTCAACTTATTTCTATTTTATTCGAATTGCTGTGTATTTCAAGAAATAAATACTGAGGGTGCTTCAAAGAGCTGCAGCAATATCACTTAACTTGGCACATACCGTAACCTAATAAGTACTGTGGCTACTTGCTTACAATTAGCCTATTCAGGAGTTCAATCGTAGATTAGCATCCGTAGTCGCATTGTGATATTAGTTGCTTAACATTTGTGCATTTTATCTTTCTCCTTCGCTGAGAACGTCTTCGAAACAAGGGCGTCTTCCAGAGGCGGGGGTGAGGCTCCACGCACGGTTTCACCGCTCGGATAACTTCAGGCCGACATGTACCTCTTCGCCGTGCTGACGGTCAGCTCGCTCTGGGCCCTGATATCGGTAGTTGTTCTTTTGTATGCAATTTTTCTAGTATAAATAGAGCAAGTGTTTTTAAGCTGTTTTTACTATTCCGAGATGCGGAAACGTTATACGTTCTGGTACTATTCAAGTTGGGGGGGGGGCAAAATTTTTTTAGGTTTTTGGGCTACTTGATCAGTTTTTCGCGGTTAATCCAGCGCAATACTGAACTCCTAAGCTAAGCCAAGCCGAAGCACAGTTAAATTGAGCTTGAACAAAGCTAAGTCAAAGCCAAAAGCAGTGATGCTGTGACGAAGCCAAGCTAAGGATCAGGTACTAAGGCTTAGGCTAACAAGGAGTGTCGAAAAGGAATAGCAATCCCGCACTATTAGGAATAAATCCCAATAATGCCCACGCGAGGGATTTGCCACCTATCCCCTTAACGATGACCTGCTTACTCCCATACACGGGGATCATCGGTTTCAGCGGGGGTCTGTATAATATACGCCAAGAAGATGACACCTGCAGACCATGAATAAGATCCAATGCGATTGCCACTAATAGAAGACGTAGAGATAAGAATGGTTTATTAGTGGAATACATAGAAAGAACACCGTGAGGAAATACACAAGGCCAGGGAACCTGGAGGTAATACAATTGGGGCGGAAAGAGCTCTGGTTGTAAGACAGATGGTGGATCTACGGGGATGGGAATCACCTTCCGGTTAACAGGTCGCCATGGGCAGATGAACCGCCACACAGCTCCTATTCTATCCCCGACCGGCCATAGATATGACCGGCGGCAACGACTCCCTTGGGAAAGGGAAGAAGTGGCCCGAAATGCGGGGAGAGCCTAGGCCGCGCGATTTACCTACCGTAGTAGGGTCGCTGCGGGACCCCCGGGGAAAGGCCGCCCGCCCCCACAGACCAAATAAACCTCGTAAGTCATGTACTTTGTACATAACTTTCGACAAGGCAGGCCTTAGGCCCCGCGTAAGCATAGGCCTAAGCCTAGCCTAAGTTAAGCTTAAGACTAAGCTAAAGTCTACGTTTCGGCAAAATCTTCAAATTTTTAGTTTTGGCCAGAAATATTGGAAAAATGACCAAAAAAGGTCCAAAATGTCGAATTTTCAAAAATTTTAGCATACTTTTGTAACTTTCTAGCAAACAAAAGCTACGAAAAACGTGATAAAAATTTACGATTGATTATTAACAGGTAAGCAAAACTTCATTTTCCCCCTGTCGAAAATTGCCCACCCCCGCCAACAACCTAGTACCTCAAATACAAAAAAACACTACTGTAGTTTATCGACTATTTAGGTTCAACCTGCAGAGCCGCCGTGGTTCCCTCCCCTCGGCGAGACGGGACAGTACGAAGGAAAGCGCTACTGCCAGGATAAATACGTGACGTTCGGCGTCGACGTAGCGACGGCCAACCACAGCTTCATCGCCGCCACGATCAACGACACCGTCACATTTCCAGACTGGAAGGAGCGGGTCACGTGGATGCATCTCCAGATCAAGACGATGGGTAAGCCAACAGATGCAGGGGTAAGACTGCAGGGGTCTTTCGCATTATCGGGGGGGGGGGCAGGGAAAGATTTTTTCTTAGAAAGTTTTTTTAAAATATAAATCGCTAAAGTGCTTCTAAAATGTTTTATTATTATTCCTAAACGTCAAAACTTAAAAAGGCATAAAAAATAAAACTTAGCGTCCCCCCGCTAACAGTTCAGTACGGAAATTACTGCAAAGTTTAGGCGACGCCCACTTCTACGACCGCTCTGTGCTGATAGTCGAAGGCCACGGCCCGAAGGCATACCGCAGTAGCACGCCGTTATGCCTGAGGCTGGAGGACGTCGACAAGCTTGCTCAGGCATTTTTTTTACTTGGGGCCTGGCCGGAGACGCGGCGTTTCGGATTTGTATTAATCTAGAAATGTCTAGTAACTTAATAGGAAGTATTTTCATGATGTTTTTAGTAAAATAAGACTATATTTGAACTGGGAAGACATAAATTTTCAAAAAGTCGACATTTTGTCAAAAAATCGATATTTTGAAAAGTCGAAAAATCGATATTTTTTTCTTGTTAAGAAAAATTTGTAAAGATTTTACGTTTAGAAATAGTAAAAACAGTGTAGAAACACGTCCGCTATTTATATTTAAAAAATTGGTTCCTAATCAAAATCATTTCAGACGAGCGGCAAGGAGAAACTGGACCTCCTGGTCCTTACGAAGGCATCTCACCTCCGCGTCGTGGACATGTTCGAGGATCCGTTCCCGCAACTGCTCAGCTTCCGGCCCGGCAACCCGTTCCAAGCCTCGATACTGCTCGATCAAACCAATACTTACTAGTGAGTCTCGCAACCTCGCAACTACGGGGTGTCCCAAAAAATACGCCCCTTTTTGCGGACCTCAGTGTCCGAGGGCCTGTCCGATTTTTACTATGCAGCTATCTATCGACAGCTTTCGACGAGCTGAGTAGACATGTGCTTTCAGATTTTCAAAATTATTTTTTACTCGATTTTCATCGTTTTTTATGCAAAGCCACACATTTTTCTGCAAAAATTCATTTTCTTTTTTTATTCAGTTCAAAAATTTATCCGCCTCAGCCCTATCAAAAGTATTTTCAAATCGTTCTCAAAAAGCTGCAAAAATTTCAAAATTGGGTTTTTTTAGAACCCATTTGCTTGGGAAAAGCAACAAAAACTTGCTCCTCTCCTCAGAAGCAACATCGTTTCTCCAAAAACCTTAATAAATGTAAGAGAAATTCGGGAATTTCGAAAATCGGAATGAACATATCGCTTCAGCTCGATTGGAGCTTTCGATAGATACCTAAATCCTACAAATCGGACATGACTGCCAGCCGCTAGAGGGGTTTTTTGGACCATCCTGCTTGCTTGGTGGCATACCTATAAAAAGCATACCTGAACATTTACAGTCGCGTCCAGGCGTGGATATTCCAGGCCTGTCCGGTAGGACGCTACGGGTATTTGTGTCAGCAAATTTGCCAGGTACAAGCGATACGCTAACTCGACGCTAACAATCATTTGTTTTTAGTGCGCCGACAGGGTTCCGTGTAGCGTGGATCGCGGCATCTGTCAGCTACCTCCAACTGCAAAACCAAAAGATGTAGGGTTTCTTTCGCGTTTTTAGCTCTTTTTCGATCATGTGAAGAAAATCTTTAGAAAGACCCTGAAGACATCGCGTGGTGGATCTTCGTCTTGATCGGATTGGCCGGCGTCTGCGGCTTTTTCACCTGCATCATTGCTGTTTTTTGCATTGTGAGGTGAGGTTTGGACCTAGACTTAGGTTAGGCTTCGGCTTAGGCTCAGGCTTCCGCTTCCTTTTGCGCTTTGGATAAAACTTAGGTTTCGCTTAGGCTGAGGCTTCGGCTTAGGCATAAGCTTAGGCACAGACTTGGACTTAGTCGTAGGCTTAGGCTTAGGCAAGGGCTTAGACTTAGGCGGCAGTGCTCTCGATTGCGTTTTTTTCAGCAAAATCCTGAAAAAGAAGCGTGCCCACCGCTCGCGCCACCATGATAGCCGCTCGACCGAAGATGAGAGCAAGGAAGCTCGTTCCAAGAAGCGCTCCAAGAAGTCCAAGAAGCACAAGCGGAAGCGAAGGGACCCCACTGTCTCCGAAGAAACCGGTGGCACCACCGAGGAGACAACTGGATCGTAGGTTTTACAATATTCAATTTCATTTAAAAATGGCAAGAAATACAAAAATTGATTACTTTTTAGGATGGAACGCAAGCGGCGTCACTGAAGCCACGCATCGTGCTACGGCCAAGCAAACCACAAAAATTTTCTATCTACTTTTTCATACGACTTGTTCTGTGCGGCAGCACTTTCTGGATGGGAATAAATACGGTTGATCACATCTGACGCACTTGAGAAAAAAACACAAAGAAATCAGGGACGAGACTGCCGCACCAAGCCACAAACTACGTATTTTGCGTGAATTTATATCCATCATAAATTTGCATTGAACTTTGAATATCAGAATTTTTGATTTTTTGGCCATTTTACTCGCTCTCCTCCCTCTCGGCGATAGCGGAGCGTTGTCGATCAAAGGTTCTTGATTTTATCGCGGAAAAAAACTGATTTCAGAAGTGGTTTCATTCAATAGTCGCAATGCTTGTCGTTGTCCTCATCTGCGCGCTCGTCTCGTTGGCTACGGTAGCTTTTGATGATCGGGTTGTTTGGGTAACAGTCTAATCGGCTTGAGTGCAGTTTACCCCCCCCCCCCTCAGCCCCCAGGGGACCCCCACCTAACCGTATCTCGGCTCCCCGTTCATCTACTGGTGTATAAAGTATACCAATACTTGCCAGAGCAAGACAAACATTTTGTTTTACTTTACACCGCTGTAGGTGAACAGAGAGAGGCGATACAAAAGTTGGGTGCCGGCGGGAGATGGGGGGGAGGGGGCGAACTGCACTCTTACCCTTTTTTTGGTGTGCAGAGGGATGCAAACTGTGCCAAAATACTCGCCAGAGCAAGGCGAACATTTTGGTATACTTTACACACCTGTAGATGAACAGCGAGCCGAGATACAAAAGTTGTGGTTCGGCTCCGTGGGGGTAATCCAGGCTTAGGGGCAGTTTAAACTGCACTCTTGCAATCTAGACTGCAAACCACGAAACTTATTTTTTAAATTCTGATTTTTAGGCCGGCATCCCTTTCCCCAGGGACTCTATCACCGTGACGGCCGCCGACACTGCGCCCTGTGACGACGTGACGTTCAACGTCACCAACTTGGTCGTCGACTGCTCCTACACGCCGGAAGAGGAAAAGGCAGCCGGCACCCTGCTCCGCCTCGTCGACGTGAGACTCACGGCTCTCGGTGAGTTTAACCTAGGGTTTTAGGCTTAGGCTTAGGCTTGGGCTTAGGCTTAGACTTGGGCTTAGGCATGGATATAAGTGAGGCTTAGGCTTAGGCTTAAGTATCCGTCGCCGAAGCTTTAACCGACCTCTAGGCTCGATCCCGGTCCAGAACAGCCTGCCGATCTTCGAGTCCAAGCAGGCCGCGCCACCTTCCCTGGAAATTGTTCCACACCATCACGGCGCTTGTCTACAACGCGACGATGCGGTCCCCCTGGCTGATGTGAGTTAGTTACGAGTTACTAGCTAATTATCCTCCCCATCTTACGCCGTTTTCCACAACATTATAAGGCATATACACTATTAAAGCGATAACCAGGGATTTTAGCACATTGGCGGCGGCCCGCTGGAGCTCAAGCTGGACGTAACGCTGTCCTGGAAGTACCCAGAGCCGCCTCCAGCCGAAAAGCCCTACAAGGAATGGTCCTGGAATATCGTTGGCTCGGGTATGCTCGAGGGTACCGCCGGCGAGGGCAAATTCGTTGGACAGATCGAGCACTGGTAGGTTCTCTCTTTCTCTCGCTCTCTCTCTCTCTCTCTCTCTCTCTCTCTCTCTCTCGCTCTCTGTCCACATATTTTCTCATTTTTTCTTCCAGTCAGGCAACCCTCACCTTGGAGCGCAAATGCTCAGGATCAGCGCCACGAGACTTGTGCCCCGGACCGGTAGCGTATTCTCACTTTGCTTCACCAGCTTCCAGGCCCCGCCCGACGGCAACAGCTTTTGGCTCTTCGTCGCGATCTCGGTCGGCCTGCTCGTCTTTTCTATCTGCTTCACCATCATCTGCTGCTGCGTATTATGGTAGTGGACCAGGAAAACTTTGGTTTTTTGCATTATACTAAACTTCAGAAAACCCCATTTTCAGCAAGGTCTTCAAGCGACTGAAGAAGAAAAGGACAAGGGGAAGCCGAATCGCATGGACGAGGACGAGAATTCTGACGACGACGCGAAGAAGGGCAAGAAGAAGGGCAAGGGCGGAAAGGACGCAAAGGGAGGGAAGGGCGACAAGGGCGACAAGAAGAAGAGCAAGCCGAAGACCGAGGAAGAGGAGGAGAAATCGAAGACGACGGGATCGGTTGAAGCTGGACATACGGATCTGGATGAGACTGTCGGATCGTGGGTTTCTGAGGAAGAGAGAGAGAGAGAGAGAGAGAGATAGAGAGAGCGGGAGAAAGACAGAGAGGGAGACAGAGAGAGCCAGCGAGAAAGTGAGAGAGCTAGAAATCCCGGAAAGTACCAACTTTTTCCAGGGTTGAAGCCGGAAAGAAAAAGTAAAACCGGCCCGACCGCGGAGCCGACCGCACCGCACGACTCGAACCACACGCCCTCACCACTGACTAAACCCATACTCGCCCTAATCATGAGCAATTTTTTAGTATTTTCCCTGTGTCTATGTATTTTTTGTACATCCGTCGTCTTTTCGCAACGTATCTTTATCCCATTTTCTGTGTTGTATGTGTTTGTATTTCTGAGTTGTGTGCATTTCTCAAACGAATAAAGATTCTTGAAGCGAAAATAACTGAGATCAAGGCTTGGGCTTAGGCTTGGGGTGGGCTTCTCTCTCTCTCTCTCTCTCTCTCTCTCTCTCTCTCTCTCTCTGTCCTTTCCAATTTGGTACGCCAGCTTGAATACGGCACTTGCATCCGTCGTCATCGGAAGTTTCCGGCCGTTTTTTTTGTCCCACTCATCTTTCAAAATCAGCTTAGTGCGTCGCGGCTCCAGGTTCAGGAATATTCAATGAATTTATGCAAATTTACAGGCGTCCCATCAAGATACGATGCGCTACTGGGCGCTGCTCTACGCTCTCGGCGTTCTCGTCAATTTTTCGGTATCGCAGACAAAAAGATAAGAGCTTAGGCTTATACTTAGGCTTAGGCTTAGGTTTAGGCTTCGGCTCTGGCTAGAAAACCCCGTTTTGTAGAGCGCAGCCGAGCTGATCGTCGACGTCACCGACCGAGAACGGCGTCTGCCCGGATGGGTTCATCATGTTCGATGTGGAGCACGTTAGGCATGAGTGAGCTCGTTCTTTGAATTGTTTAGCCTCTAGTAAAAAGAAGAAAATTGGCCTGATCTTAAGAGAGATAGACCTCGGCATCCTGAACGTAATTTCAGGTTCGTGTATCCGCTTGGCATCGAAAACCCGAAAAAGATGACGTACGGCGAGTTTAGAGAGATGGGCCTCTCGCTTCGAGTCTATTTGACGCAGATGGGTGTGTGGCTTTCTCACTCTCACTCTCTCTCTCTCTCTCTCTCTCTCTCTCTCTCTCTCTAATTTCTCGGTTTTAGGCGGGCAACCTGTGCACAAGACCCCGATCGTCTACGAGCACCCAAAAAAGGGCAACCGGACGCTGTGCTTCAGTCTTCAAACGGCGGAAACGATGCCAAAGGTAGAGCGAGGGAGAGCGAGAGATAGAGAGATGGACTCTTTTTCAGCACGACTTCGACCTGCGCTTCTCCTCGTTGCCCGTCAAGCTGAATAAGTCGTTTGGAGTAGACGGTCTATTCGTAGAGCTGCCGTTCGCCGGGGCGCTCACCTTCCGAAATGAGCAGCCGCTCTACGATTCCGTGGTCTTCGATCAGAAAAATGACCAATAGTAAGTGTAGAACAGAAAAGAGAGAGAAGAGAGAGAGAGAGAGAGAGAGAGAGAGAGAGAGAGAGAGAGAGAGAGAGGAAAGCACTCTCTCCAACCGGCAAATTCAGCTCGCTCATGATGAAGATCACGCAACGCTGCCCCTTCCAACTCTTTGGCTACCTGTGCCAACGTAATTGCAAGGATAAGGTAAGTTAAGGGATACCTAGGCCCTCCTAAAATTTTTATTCACCTTTTTAGTGCGGCGATCGGTCCTGCTCCGTCGCCAATGGCGTCTGCAAGGAGCCGGAGGTCGTGAAGACGGACAAGGTCAGACAAATTGTCTTTGCTAGCTTGCCTAACTCGGCTACGGCTTACTTTACCCCCCCCAGCCGAAAGTTTTTGGCTATAACTTTTTTATTTTACATTGTTGTAGGCTCAAATTCAAAACTCTTAGTATATTTTTCGAAGCTCTATCGAATGGCGTTTCAAAAATCCCGACAAAATAAGCGAAAATACCGAAAACTTTCTTATTCGGCTAGGGGGGGGGGGAGAAAACTCTTTCCCCTAACTCTCATCTGCTAGGATGATTCAACTCCCATCTGGATGATCGCTCTCTTCGTCGGCATTCCAGTTGTGGGGTGTTGTTGCCTCACGTTTTGCTGTATGGTACTGTGGTCAGTCACTTATTTTTTTTTGCTTATGAAATTTTTACTTTCGAGGGCAGGCTTCAAATTTTCGATCTTATAGGGAAGCGATTAAAAAGAAGAGGTCCTGCGGAAGGCATCACAGTCAGACGTCGACGGTCGACGATGAAAGCCGAGAGCATCGCTCGAAGAACCACAAGAAGCACAAGAACCATGCGCACGACACGACGACGGACAGTGAGGAGTCGCGCGAATCGTGAGCGATCATGTGCTTGTTTTAGCTTTGCGTCCCTTCGCGCAAAAATTAGCACACGTGACCACCGGCAACGCATGACAATAGAGGAAAAAATTATCTCAACTTTTTCCTTTTTTCAGGCAGAAGCGCAAGAAGAAGCACAAGGGCAAGCACTGAGCGTGACCGTCACCGAGCGCATCTGAATCGACAAAAAAGTTACAAATTTCCGGGTTCTGGTTTCTTTGTGACGCGAATAAAGTGGTTTCTTGTGGCTATGTTTTTTCACCACAAGAAAATTGCTCTCTGTCTCTCGCTATCATTCTCGCGCTCTCGCTCTCTCCCACTCTCGCTCATTGAGCCGGCGGCAATTCAACCAAATGGCTTCACCATGCGCCGCCATCCTTTGAAAAAAATTGCGATCGACATTTCCGATATACCATGTAATTCCAAGCCCACCAATAGCTTCAAACACAACCTTCATTATACACTCCACATCCAAAATACAGTTTTGACACAAGTGGCGGGTGGGTAGTGGGCGTGTGTGTGGCAAACAAGGCACAAAATATATGGTGGGGGCACAGAAGAAAGAATTTTTGGTCGACCAAAAAGAAGAATATATAAAAACGACAATGCATCTGGGCGCGGTATCGCCACAAGGCATGAGGGCAAGGCACAGTTGCTCAAAATACACACACTCAACAACAAGAACAGTTTCTTTAACGCGGGCCGGGTCATGGAATGTGATGAGGGGACGGAATTTTGCAAATTCAAATTAAACTGGATATCGCGGGGGTGTTTCGGAATCGTGTACAATATGGGAATGTGTGTGGAGGGTCGATGAGATTGTCAGGGACGAGATGAGGGTTTTTGGAAGGTTTTAGAGATTTCGGTGGTGATTTGGGCTTAGAAATTTCAAATTTCCTAAAATTCAGGGATCCAAATATTCCTAGAAGCCTTTGGAATGCATTTATGCGCTAAGGTATCAGAACCATATCTGGAAGCCATGTAATTTGACATTTCTAGCGGCCAGCGGACGATAAGATCTTAGAATTCCAGCTTAAATCTAAAAAAATCCAGTTTCTAGACATCAAGGCCTCCCAAATTTTTCTCAAGGTCCTAGAAAGGCTCTTACGAATTAAGGTATAAAACGATACCTTAAAAACTCAAAAATCAAGTACTAAGGCCCTAATTCACCTAAATCACCACCAAAATTACCGTACAACACACTGTGGCAAGCGCTACTCCAGGCAACTACAAGACGAACGGGATACGCGCGCGCGACGACGATCAAATGCTTATTCGGGGGCCGTATTATGACAATTTGGTACTAATATTTAAGGGTGGGGAAGGGCACAATCGATCGATAGCAATAGATTAAAGGGGCGGCCGGAAATTGCCGATATCCCCTGCAGACGACTAAATGCACTAGGGATACACGCAAACGGGCGGATACGTAGGAGGCAAAGATTTGCTGATACTTGATCTAATTCTTGTACGGCGAGTCGGCCCTGGGCTTCCGGTTCCGCTTCATGATCGTGTCCTTCTTGAGGCTCATCGGGCGCTTGCGCTGGTTCTTGCGGTAATACAGGTTGCAGGCGCTGAAACGGGGAGTTTAGAAGATATTTACCGTAAAAGTGGCGGAAAGCGCCTGAAAGATAGGCAAGCTAACAGAGATCATCTGCGAAAGGCTTGATGGGCTTCGGAAAAAATCCAAATAGCTGAATTTGAACTTGTCATAAAAAACGAAAATCCAGCAAAATTTAGCTTTTTTTGAACCATGAAAGCTAGCAGCGAGCAATTACGGAAAAATCGCTCCTAAAAGGGCCTGAACAACTGAATTCCGACATGGAACCTGCTAGATTGCCCCCGAAAGAAACTCGACTAGAGAGGAGGGAGAAATATTTTGTCCGGGACGCTGGCAAGCTAGCAGAGATCATTTGGGAAAATCGCATCTTCTAGAGCCTCCAAAACAATTGAATTCCGAATCCCAACAATCCCACCAGAGTAAATTTGCGCAGTTCAAACGAAAATCCCTGAATTCCCAAATAGACTGCTAGCTTGCCCAAGCCCACTCAAGCTGAAACTCACTTGCACTCAATGTCGCCGGTATGATTCCTCCTCCACAGCGTCGTGTCGCGCGTGCCACAGTTGGCGCACACAGAGTTGGAGTGGCAGCTGACGGCCTGAAACATAAAAATAGAATTAATACATTACGACGAGTATCGAGACCGGAAACATTATTAATTACAGTACCTGGATGCGCTTCTTGGTGGGCGGCTTGGCGAGGGGGTCTTGCGGCGGCGGGGACTGCTCGATCTTCAGCGGGGCCGTCAGGATCGCCGAGTTTTGCGGCGCCTGCGTGTAGATGTCCGTCTGGTAGATCGGGGGGTAGAGCTGAAAAAGAATGATGTTTCCTGGGGAAAAATACAACAGATTTTTCTCGATTTCAACCCTCAGATTCCGCTTTTCCATATTCTTGAGAAGGCCATAAAATGCGCATCAATATAACTTTCTCCGTACGATTTTTGTTGCCCGTATCCACAAATAAGACCTTTTTTGACCAAGAAAAACGTTCCAACTTTAAGAGAATTCCAGACAGGTTTTTTCTGATCTCGACCCCCAAATTCCGTTTGCTCCTAAAAATCCCCACAAATATAGCTTGCTCGGCAGTTTTTGTTGCCTTTTTTCTACAAACCCCGATCCGGAGGATTCTAAAAGCTGCCAGCGTGCACATAAAAGGATGGCCCGGCTATGTGGGGGCCACGGCAAACAGAGTGTTTGCCCCCTCGCAACCAAAAGCCGTGATTCAGAATCCGGGTCAACACGGTGAGAAGCGCCGGCAGGTTTGTGTGCGTGTGTCAGATTTGGGGCGGCCATTGAAGACGCGGTTTTTGAAACGGAAAAGCGTAGCGAAAAATGGAGCCAGTTCGCGAAGAGTAACCAGAATACGCAATGCAACAATTTCGTTCGATTTTTGTAAAATCCTAAAATGCATACCTGATCGTAGTAGTGAGTATAGCCGGCCGGCAATGAAGTCGTGTAGTCGCAGGCGTACGGCAGGCTAAAAATATCAAATTGAAAAATTCTTGATCCATTTCCATTTTTTGCGTTCTTAGTGCATAAAAATAAGGGTCGGACAAAGTTAATTTTTACGTAATCGTTACAGTAAATCTCTCCAATTTCACTCACCCGTCATTGTTCGTGGCGAGGGAGGTGGGCGGGGGAAGGATGAACTGGTAGCCGTTGAACGGGTCGGGCGTGGTGAAGGCCGACGCTTGCGTGGCCTCCATCTTGTCGACGTTGGTCAGCTCCGTGGCCGAGGGGACGCCGAGCGAGTCTGGAAAACCCATGGATTAATAAACTATACAAGATTTTGGACTTTCACTCCCCTTTAAAGGGCTGTTGACGGCATGTGTCGATCCCCCCCATCAACAAATTGGCAAGTAGCCAACAGGGGAGAGAGCGCGCATAGGGGAGAGGCGCAGAGACATTTTCTTTTCTGCGCGTAACCGATTCACTATGCCGTCGGCATCCCTTTAAAAACCTCCACGCTTTTCCTCGCCCACTATGTATACTAACCCGAGCACGACGCCTTCGGCAACGCGTTCGACGGCACGTAGAGAATAAAGGCCATTTTTAGTAGCTAGCACCGTAGTTATTATAGTGAATATTACAGGGGTGTTTCTAGGCAATTAGGCTCGTCTTACTTCCCAAAAATCGACACACACAACCCGGGGTATGGCGCGAGACTTGTGCGCGCCCCGCGCTAGCCCGAACAGCTCGGGCAAATTTTTCACGGTCAATCAGGGCAGACAGAGAGAGAGAGAGAGAGAGAGAGAGAGAGAGAGAGATTTTCCAACCCTTCTCTACTCAAAAGATGGGATCCCGAGATTGGCCCGGGCACCGTAGTTTGTTGCATCGCGTAGCCGGGGACCGTGGTCTCGGCTGACAACCGGCGCAAAATTGCGGATTATCAATTACCCCCACCCGAGAATTGGATAGGGATCAAATTGGCGGCGGTATTTTCGCGCTGGTGAAATTTAGATGGGCAGCGCGGGGGTTCTAGCCAGAACCCGGGCGGTCATGTTTTTCCGGAAGTGTTTGATAAGGAGGTGTCAAAAGATTCTGCACCCACGTGCGGTAGGCCCGGACGCAGATAAGATTAGATAACAACCTCGTGGAGCAGAATATTGACCGTGGCGAAGGGCTTTTTGCAGGGGGCTTGAGGAGAGGAAGTACGCGTTTTGAAAGTGATACCAGGGAGTCTAGTTTGGATTGAGTCAGGTAAAGCGGATCAGAGAGGCTTTCAATTTTTACTGGCTCAACTAGCATAACTAAGAATCACTGGTAGCTTCCTGAAATGCCAAATACAGCAACGGATTTTGGAGCCGCTTTAGCAACCCAAAGAAGCTTCTAATTTTTTTCGCGCTAAAATAGTATAATCAAAACCGTAGCTATTCCCCAATTTTCTCTGCCACCCACCGTAGGGGTTTCTACTTAATTTTATCTATGGAAATCGGATCTGGGATATTTTCATTTTTTTTCAAGCGGGTAGCACGATCCTAAAATGCTTGCAAAGCCCTTAAAATTTCTCTGCCCGATAGTGTAGAGCATTTTTTACACTGGCTCTACCTAAATTTGACCAAAAAGGTTTCCTGAAATCTCGTTTCCCAAAATCTACTACAAGTCTATGTAAACACGTCCGCCCCACTTTTTCAAACTTCCGAAATCCGCATTGATACTGTCCCGGGCCTCCATATTTCCCTAATGTCACCACCGGGGCCAGACGGAAGTGACAGGCTCTCAATTTCAATTTTTCACCATTTCCTCCCCCTCTCTTCGAGTTAGCAGATATCCCCCCTCCTCGAGCTCAAAAAACACACGTCTGCTTTTTCGACCTCAGCCCAGGGAACGCCCAGACCATTCGAGAGAGGGAAGAAACGAAGAGAAGCCGAGCACCCGGTGGTGGTGTGAAAGTTGCCATCATCGCGCTGCGCAATCTCGATGGATGGGCCCGATATTTCGGCTTTTTTTGGGGGTGCCCAGATTGGGATCTTTGTGAACGGGGGGGATAGTTTTGCGAGCGAGAGGGGCCCGAGCTTCCCAAGGTTGCCACCACCCAGCCGAACACGTAGACAAGCATGCAGAGTGGGGTGGCAGCAAAAGGAAAACAG